CACACACACACACACACACACACACACACACACACACACACACACACCCCTGTAGTGGCAAAGGCAAGATTTACTGTTTTCATTAAGATTATTTTTTTCTATTTTTCTCACTGTGAAGTGTGCACTATCACTGTTGTCATGAGAACTTCACATATACAAAGGTTTAATTTTATAATCTAATCCTCTTGAAAGATCTACCTCAGTACAAATTTTTGCCTTTGGGAATTATAAGCATGCAGTGAAAAAGTGCAAATGGTTTAAAAATCCTTCAGATTTCTATATACAACTGTAACAGCAAAAAGGGCTTATGAACATTAAGGACTCATCAGATACTACCTTTTACATACTCTATTAAAAAGGTAGTCATCAGGAATTCTCTGTTAGGTACAAGGACTGTTGCAGTAAGAATCAGAAATATCCAATGATCAAAGTAGTACAAATTGATCTATCCAGATTCATTATTTTTTCCAAGGGACAAATAAAATTTTAATGTAGATTTCAGGGAGGGAAAAAACCCACAAAGAATAAGGCCACTGAAAAAGCAATCTGTTACACTTGGCTGAGAAATCCACTTGGGAATGTCTTCAGTCAAGGGAGCATGGTGGCTTGCCCACAGACTCACACATGCTCTGGTACAACCCGCATAGATCAGAACCTGTCATAAAGAACAGAACCCTTCACCATTGACAGGTGGCTTGACACAGCAGATGGGGAAGGGGAGTTAAGACAGAAGGATTGTAAGTGATCTCGCTGATTCTAGTGCCTTGTCCCCTCCATACAAGGAGCAAACACAATGGCAGGCCTTACAACCTACCAGGCAGTTACTGTCCATTTAACAACAGGCTCTCTAGTAGTTTAAAAAAACAATAGCTTTGCTTCAGAACATCAGTAAAGGAAACTGCTTCATCAGGATCACACATCACACATCAAGGTTTAACGCTCAGATATTAACTCCACTGTCATTCTCTGGCTTTAACCTAGTTAGCAATCAAAGAACAGGCTGGAGGACAGACCAGGGGGCAGCTTCACACAATTTAAACTGAAAAGTCAGCCATGGCTCCAGCATTTACACATCCCTTTACATGTTTATGAAACCAGAAAGTCCTAGTATTCATCAGAGAGACCTTGGGCGTCTTCACTATAAATAAAGATGGTTCTCCCTTCACTAATAAATACAAAAAACATGAAACGTGCTTGGTAGGGAACAACGTGTAGAGGTGCAGAACAGGCTAACAGGAGAAAAGGAAACCAATTAGTTGCACAGATGAAGCTCACTCCTCAATTTTAACACATGAGCAAATTCTACTTTCTAAAAGGGATAAAAAGAACTGGCTTTTAAAAACACTGCACTCAAAAGAGTATTTCCAATAACAACCTTCAAAATTTCAAAAAGCAATCTGTGCTTGTGGGTATGTGGGAATTCTGATTGTGTTCTTTCATTTTAGGCCATTCAAAACGAACCTGGTTTAATGCAGACAGTATGACATTAACTTAGGGGAAGGCCACAGTTCCCTCTTCAACCTATTCAAATCTAGTTGTCTGAACACTCTGGAGTGAAGGCATGTGGTGACAATTTTTTTAAAAATCTACTTAATCCCCACATCTCCACATTCTCTCAGGGAGTCAATTTCCCCTAGGCAATCAAGGGCTCACAAAGTTTAGTTTTGCTATAAATATAAAATAATTTGTAGCAGAAAAATATAGCCTCTCTAAGAAGTAGGTATCATTTTTCTTCACTGACAAAACTGAATTGGTTAGACATGAGTTACCACATAACTGTCGACCACCAATCAGCACCTCAAATTCCATCTCTACTTAAAACAAGAATCAAAAAGCACGTTAGCCATCTGGTCAGGTATAAATGTTGTTCCCTTCTTCCCCAAGTTAGGAAATACAGAATTCGATCAATGGTGACCACCTTGTTAGCTAGAACCCTTCAAGGAAACAAGAGTGGGGATGGCAGCACCAAGTCCTCCAGGAGTCGGCCTCAAGTGACTCTCAAGGTGGCTCCCATGCGCACTTGTTCTTCCTCCGTTGCGTGACGTGGATCGTGGGTTGCATTTCAGCACAATCAGGAATCCGAGCTGGGGTGAACGCGCAGTACACAGGGCAATGGGAGGGGGTTGCCTTCAGTTTCATACATTATGACAATACTTGGTATTATCAAAGTCACTGTTCATTGGCAGAAAGTGGGGTACAGTGGAGTCCTTCACAACTTAACATTTTACAGATGGCCATTAGAATCTGTTAAACAAGTTTCCCTCAGAACTTAAATTTTTTAAAACAAATCATCCACAAAACCCTTCACCAAAAATCAATGTTTAAAAAAATTTTCTTCTGTGAATGGACTTAGTATGGCTACTGAGATGATGTGAATTTGCTTTCAGAATCGAAATTGTTCCTCATTTCACTTGCAGCTTACATCCATCCTACTGGTTAAAAAACAAAAACAAAAGACCACAGAAATGTTGCTAGACCATTCACATGCCCATTAGGCTACATTGCACTTTTATTCTGTAGTTAGGAAAGGCAAGATCATCTCTGGGGCTGACCTCCATCTCTGCTTCTGTGTAACCATAGTGTCCACCCAATGAAAACACGACTCTTGAGAGTTTATGTGGACAAACCTCCTGGCCATCTTATGCTGCTTCTCTTCTTGAGTTTGATATCCTGATGAGACAAATGTCGAGACTGTTTTTTACGCTTCCAATGTGCAAAAAAAAAAAAAAAAAAAAAAGTCCCCAAGGCATGGAGTCAACTTGGGTTTCCATTAAGGTGTTTTGGTTACTTGTTTGAGCCGCTGAAAACCCTGTCTTATATAGTGCACCAGGTCCACCAAACTGCTGTTGAGGGCCAAGGTGCATACTTTTGTGCTGAGTTGAGCAAAGAATTCTGGAAAAAGAAAAACAAAAAGCCCCAAACTAGTAAATACACATGCACACACACAAATTAAAATAGAAATACAAAAAGTCAAGGTTCAGAAACTATGCCCCCACAATACCCTGCATTTCATCTCAGAAAAAAAAAGAATCATAATCTGTAATCACCTGCTACCTCTCCACATCCCTCCTCTAGACTAGAAGGCCACGAACCAGGTTTGCTTTAGAGTTGGACACATAACACCTGCCTAGGGTAGTGACTGGCAGTTTTAAAATAGCCATTTTATACATTTCATCAATGGATACATGGATGCAAAAACAAAAACAACCCCAACCACCTTAAAAGTATTATTATTTTACTAAGACAGATAAAGCTCTAAGAGGCTGTGGGGAAAAGTAGAGATTACAGCCAGCTGGCTGCCTTCTACTCTCTAGCCGGGGAGATAGAAGTCACAGCCATGTTATGGCGCTCGCTGCTGTTTGCATTTACTTAGTGGTAGCTGGCCTGATGCCAACCAGTTCCTCTACTACAGGTCCTACTGCTCCTGAACCCTGGATTACTCCTAGGGCCTTCTTCCCCAAACAAGTCATAAGACCGTTTACTATGCTATATTTCTCTTGTTGTAGCTGACCATTTTTCTTAACATCAACTGAAAACAAACTCAGCACTGGGATTGTGCTACTTCCCGTCTTAAATGGGTTGAGCCTAGGAACAGCCGTGACTTTCTTTATTTGCTTTGCCCTTTTGCTAGCATTTTGGTTCAGACTGAAATGATGACAGCAGAGCTTGTGAAGGGGCAAGGTGCTAAAACCACTGCTAATTTGGTCTTGCTAATCTAGCTACAGAAATCCAGCTCTAAGCCACAAAGTTCCAGGGAGAATTGCAAGTAGGTAACAAGGCAAAATGGAGAAAATGAAAAGGGAAACAGCTACACATGTCCTCCTTTCCTTTAAGAAACTGAACATAGATTACAAACCAACACCATTTCCTCCCGACCTCCATGCCCCAACTAATCACCACCCCAGAGACCTTTACCTTTATTCTTCCTTGCAAGGACTTCAGCCTGTTCCCAAAGATCAAAGGCGGTAAGGACATGGGATGTGATGGTGACATAGGAAGAGGTCATGTTCTGGATGGTGACTGGAGTACTGATTGTGGCAGTCTTTCCACTGCTCCCCATACTGCCAGCACTTGACTGGGACCCTGCAGAGCTGGCAGGAGAAGGCATTGGGGACAGAGGGGATGGTGTGCCTGTGCTTCTGGAAGGTTAGAGAAAGACATGGTTAAAGCCTGCCAGACTGCAGGTTTCCTACCTCGAAGACTGCAATCTACATCACCAAGTTTCAGTGTGCATCCACCAAAAAAATAACTATAGCTAAAGTGACTCCTATACAGTTGAAGAAGACCTAGGCACACTAACTGTATTCCAAATATGCTTTCCCATGCCCTTGAACAGTCTACCTCCTCTTCCATGGAGGAATCCCTTCTTCTTACCATGTCCAGTTCCAACTTATGCTAGGACCACACACACACACACATACACTCATCATCATCATCATCATCATCATCATCATCATCATCATTTCATCCCCTCAGGAAACACTAAACTGAGCACCTACTCTGCATCTGATACTCTTTTAATCACTGTAGATACAACAAGGCCGCCTTCCTGACACCACTTTGAACTTATCTTTTGTTTTGCATTTATCTGGTCACAGCACCATGGAGGCAGAGGCTATGTCTTATTAATCTTTCCACAGCTAGCACTTAACACAATAAATGGCTTTTTGAGGGAGGGGTAAGGGATTAGGGGGGCTGGTAACTAGGGATTGAATGCAGGGGCACTTAACCACTGAGCCACATCCCCAGCCCTTTTTATTTTTGAGACAAGGTCTCGCTAGGTTGGCTTTGAACCTATGATCCTGCCTCATTCTCTCAAGTTGCTGGGATGCACCCCAGTGCCTGGCAAGTAAGTGCTAAGAGTAGAAGCCCACAGAATCAACAAATGAACTGCTGTGGGTAGACTGCAGGAAAATGGGAAGGGAGTGTCACACACTGGGAAACTCAATCTTACTGTTTTTTCTGCCCTTGGCTAAATATCTGGTCATGCCAGTTAACATGTGCCTCAACGTGGAGCAAATGAGAAAAGACCAGGGAAGTCACTCAGATATAAAAAATAAATGGTTATAGGATGGAAGGTGAGGTCAGCAGCAGCAGTTTCACGCTGTGACATCTGCCCTGTGGGCCGCACGATCCTGAGCATGCCTGGAAGAACACACACTTTCAAGGACTGGAGAGAGAGCTTCCTGAGGCAGCAACTCTTGTCTGCTTTGTTTACTGCTGTTTCAACAGCAGCTACAGCGGTTAGGTGGTCTGGCTGGGCAGATGGCCACAGGAATTATCTAAAATAATGTGACTGACAACCTATTAGCTTAGAATATCTCAGAGTGGGAGTTGTGAAGCTTTCATAAATAAGAAATTGCTTCTCAACCAGGACTTTCTCTTTTTTAAGAGAGGCCATATGGTAGTCTCTTCTTTAGAATTTCTGGAAATCGGGCAGTCTTCTAAGTGATGCTCTTAAAATAGCAAAACCTATCAGAACTAGGAACTTCCCAAGGAATATGACCAAATTTTTTTAAAAAAGAAAATACTAGACAAGGACTACAGGGCAGAACAACCCACCTTCATCTTACAAACACAAGTGAACACGATTCTTTTTTTCAATGTTTTACAGCAGATAAACAATTGCAGTTCACAAAGTGAGAGAAATAATTTTGCTAGACATAATTGCTTCATTGGTATTACTGGTGTGGGTTCTGAAGACAGTGGAAGGTAAATGGTTCTGGAAAGTTCTTGTTTATTGAAATGTCAAGAAGATACATCACAGAAGGAGAAAGCACATTGGCTCTGGTTCTGCCCTTCATGGTTTTGTGTTCTTAGGCGTAGCTAAGATCCTCAAAGCTCTAAAATTTAGACTCTATGTTCTTTGCAATTATTCTAACCCCCTCTAATCCACCATTTTGCTTTCCACAGAAGTTAACTGCAGTCAACCATGGGCTTGCTTAGACTCCAAAGAGAGACCACATTCACATAGCTTCTATTTACAATGTATTGTTATAATTATTCTATTATTAGTTAATATTGTTAATTCTTTGTTGTTGCCATGCTAGGGATCAAACCCAGGGCCTAGCACATACTAGGCAAATGCTCTATCACTGAGCCACACCCCCAGACCTTACTGCTAATCTCTTACTGTGCCTGATTTACAAATTAAACTTTTATAGATATGTATAAGAAAAAGCATAGTATATAAAGAGTGTTTGGTACTAATCTGCAGTTTCAGGCATCCACTGGGGGTCATGAAATGTATCAACCATTAACATACCTTTTATGTTAACCAATCTGCCTCAATATTGGTTTATAAATAATTCTCAAACGGCAGGGATATGCTAATAATTTACCTTTAAGGAGCAAATCAGCACAGAGATGAAGAATTCAGTTTTGAAAAGCCAAAGAGTGAGTGTGTGTGCACACACACACGCATGGGGGGTAGGGAGGGGGAAAGGGAGACAGTTGCAAAAGAGGTAAATTAAGAATGACTTAAATTATTGAAATTAGATTTATAATTACCTTGCAATGCATGGAGAAGGGGCCTGGGCCACTTTGGAAGAACTCTTGAAGTGTTCATTAAGAGTACGGGAATACTTTATTGCTACGTCTTTTTTACAACGAAACATTGCCATGTTCAAAAGGGACTGGCAACGCATGCTGTGAACAAGAACAGAAGTTAAAGTGACATGTGCATCACCTTGTCGACAGGACTAGCTCTACCACAGAAAAATAACCGTTGCACCCAAGTCTCATGAGCACACTGGGTATGCTCCCGTCTGTATACCTCAAGAATCTACACTGTTCAGACTATTGCCAAAAGTCAATATTGGCATAGACATAGATGTGCAAAGATACAGCTCAAACCAGCTTTGGTAAAGACCAAAGCATTTACCAAGTCTTCAGTAAAACAGCATTAGGTGCCATTTCCCAGTAATCATCAGTGGGATTAACCCGAACCAAGTACTCACTAGCATTAGGTTAAGGAATCAAATTTCAAAATGTTTTAACATCAAAAGAAACAAAAACACATTTAGTGCTATTTAACAAAGAAAAAAATACACACCATAAAACAGCAAATATTTTCTCTTGTGTTGGTGCTGTGGCATCTGAGAATGATTTTAATGACATTGTGAATCTATAGGGAGACAAAACCATATACTAGGTTAAACAAAGACAGTATAAAAATCCCAGGCACAGATGCATCTTGGAACTGTATTTTAGTGCTCTTTGTATTGACTTTTCCTGAAGATATGAAATCATGACAGCCACACAGAAACAGTGAGCAACAATGCAGGCCATTCAGAAAACCAGGACCTATGGTTTCCTGCCTCTTGAAACCAAGTGCAGTCAGTTGTGCCCTCACCAAGTCCCCTGTTGAAATGCAGGTAAATACACACCTGAGCCCAGAGGGCATCTGATAAGAAAGCTGAACTGGAAAAACCACCCTGTCCCTGCAAGGTGTAGCATTTCTCAGTGCACTTGGCAAAGTGATATGGCTAGATTCAGTAATTCTGTGCTAGTACTTCAGTTAGAACACAATTTAATTCAGTTCTTGAACCAATACCTTCTTATTGTTTTACCTTTTTGGCAGTGCTGGGATGGAGCCCAGGGCTCGCATGCCAAACAAGTGCTCTAACACTGAGCTGCAGCCCCAGCTCCCATGACCTGAAGGCTCCCCTGTACTGTAGCTGTATTCACGCTAAGGTTGAAAGATTAAAGCAATAAAGGTGAGGAAAGAGAAGTACTTGAGAGAACAGCAAAGTGACTTGGCACTTACTTAATGAGATCTACAGTTTCTGAGTACACTGAATAAGCCGACTTGGAGGCCGGACTCTCAGACTCCATGGCAATCCCACACTCGATAAAGGACAGGATGGCTTCCAAGTACTTGAAGGCCTTTCCAACCTTGTCCGTCTGTAGAAGAACACAGCCACTGTTAGGCCCGAGACAGGCTTTATTTAGTTCCTTTCCCACATTCTTTAACTTTCCTCCACTGTCTTGGTTTAATCATCAGAAAAAAAAAAAGTATGAAAATAAACCAACTAAAAGTGATAAATAACTAAAGCCTGTCAGCTCTAACCAACCAAAAAATTTCTCTTTTTTTGGAAAAATTCATTAGAAATAAGAAAACAAATCTGTATTAAGACTATTCTCTCACAACCTTCTGGAAGCACACAAACCAAGACTCCTTGTTATTAACACAAAATTATTCATTACATAACTTTCTTGAGAAATAGGTTATTCTACACATCTAAAGTAAGGCAGACACAAGTTTCTTTGGTAGATGTTGAGGTTTACCTGAAGTAGAATACATTTATCATAGATTAGGAGTATTTTAGACATAATCCCTAACAATAATCTTCAAGCATTTTAAAGCCCAACAGATTAATCTCTTTTGGCACCTAGATTTAGTACAAGGCATCAGGGACATTAAGTACTGAGATAATAGGGACAAAATTTCAAAGTTCCTTTGAGGGATTAGAGAAATTAGAAATATAAATGAAATTAGATACTTGTGGCCATCTTAAAAGTAAATATATATTTTGTCACCTAAAGCTCTTCTCACTGAGTGGCATACAGCCAATTCAACTAATGACACTGGAATAAGCAACTCACTTTTTCTCTACCTGTGGCATACACACCACACACTGAGAGCAGCTAACAATTGCAAGTCTGTAGTTTTCCCCAATGCTCTCAATTTGATATGTTAAAAAAGAATTAAAATAGCAATACATGAGGGCAGTGACCTATCAGGTAGCTTAGGAGTGTTATTTAATTTACTGGCTGCTGCTACACACCACAGGCAAGAGCTGTTCCTACAGCTCTTCCCCTTAGTGCACTGCTGTTGCTTCCTTCAGGGCACATACTGTTCTGTATCTAACCAGCAGTGGAACAAATGGAGTTGCTACACAGACATGCATATGAAACACGACTTCATGTGACAGATGCGTAGACGTTTATATGCAGACATATACTTCAGAACACTCAATCTTAGTGCTCTAAAAAATTTTAACTTTTAAAAATAACTTAGCTTCAAAATTTCTTTCCTAGAGAGCCAAGGCTCAGAAGATAAGTGACCAAAAAAAAAAAAAAAAAATAGAAGTCAAATTAGTATGCCTCAATGATGAGGATAGGACACATTCATTTGCTTTGCTGATGGGAATCTAATTCTCAAAATTATCTTACGTAAAACCATCTATTTCATGGAATTTCTGAAATTAATATTGGCCTTAGGGCAGAAGCAAACGAAACTGTCAGCTAACAAGCTGATTAGGGAATATCCACTTCCTCAAGTACTTTGCAAGGCTAAGAAGCATTATCCCTGTGGTCACTCTCCCCAAACAGGGCAACAGCAGTGCAGCTCTGATTTCCCTACTCAACAAGATAAGTGCATGCAAAGATGAAATACACTCCCCTGCACTCGGCTGAGCACTTCTTAGCTCTCTGGATGCCAAGTGCACATCTTTGAGATATTATGCCATTAAGACAGAATATTATGAAAAAGGTGACCAGACAGGTTATTGTCCAAACTGGCAGACTTTGAGAGCAAAATGGGTATAATTACTGCAATGGGATATGCAGGACTGTCCTGGAACACTGGGTTGTATGGCTGCCTTTTGTAGAGAGAAGATATGCCTATGTATGGATTCAAGCAAATACCTGGAATACTGTTTGAATGAGGGAATCTAGTGTGGAACATGTCCAATCACGATAGGTTTCAGATAACTGGATAATAGTGCTAAATATTTACTCTTTTATTTATTTATTTTTTTTTTGTTTCAGACAGTGATTTAATTAGAATTCTACATGGCATTGAACTAGTGATAACCTTTTGAAGGATCTATGTTAAAACATTCTTTGGGTAAAAAGAAACAGTTGAAAGAAAATCCTTAATAACTTTATTTAATATAGAAAATTAGATTCAATAATTATGTGTAATTTGTGGCCTTACCAATTTTAATAATATGAATGTAATATTTACTCTTTTACAAAACTCACAAGAGTCATACAGTTCCTGTAAGGAGGCAGCTGAAAGAGCACCATTGTGTGGTGCAGCCATGGTCTGACTCAGGTCATCCTGACACAGGGTGCTGTAGGATAGGGACAGAGCATCTTGTCCTGAGCTCCCTCATGGCATCCAGCATGGGACCCTTTAGCAATGGGACCTGCTAAAAGGTCTCAGTTGTTTCCCCTCTAGAGAGCAGGAGAATGGATGCCCATCTGCAGCCTAGGGTGAGAGCACCAAGCCAAGGTCTGAATGACTCCTGCAGAGTGGCCAGATTCAGATCCCTGTGGACCCTGCCACATGCAGTTTGGTTTAGGTTTGGGGGACAAGCTCAATAAATAAAAGCCATAGAGTCTTAGGTGTTTAAATATGACAAAGGGCAAACATGATCTCATTATATTGCAGTAAAGATGTAAAAGCATACTTAGTTACATATATCATTAACATCAAACCACCACCTTCCAGAAAATCCATAGGCCAATTAGTAAAGAGAGTTCACATCTTCAAGCATGTTTATCAACAGTACAATCATCACCTTTATCTCAAATTTTCATCTACTGGCCTTGGTCAAATATTCCTTCAGGTCAGTCTTGCAGGGATTTTAGGTAATTTTGGAATGCAAACAGGCTTCCTCACCTTGTCAACTGTCAGGGTGGGCACAAATTGACTGACTTTCAAAAGCCGAACTCATTTTTCACATCCAAAGAATTGACTCAATGGGACAAAAAAACTCACTCATATATTAAATCACCACCAAGTAGATCAACTTTCACTCATTTAGATAAACTACTTATGACTAAGTATGTGTAAATTGGCCCATGATCATACTGAATCAACAGAACCAAAGAAAATAATCCCACTGAACTCCCTATCCTTTGGTCATTAAAATCCTGGTTCTTCTGATTGTATTATGACCAATAGCAAGACCATATACTTCTTTCTCCTGGTGACTCCCACCCCAAAATGCCCCATGCACACGTTTAATGATGTAGAATGTAGTAGAAGAGAGACCATAAACACTATAGCATCCCCCACCCAATTCCGGTTCTGGGGATTGAACTTGGGTTCTCTACCACTGAACATGCATCCCCACCTCTTGACATTTTTTGAGACAGGATCTCACCAAGTTGCCCAGGATGGCCTAGAACTTGCAACCCTCTTGCCTTAGTCTCCTAATTAGCTGGAATTAAAGCCCACCATGCCTGGCTTCATTTCTTCTCCTCCTTCTTCTTTCTTCTTCTTTTTTTTTTAATAATAAAAAAAACCATTCAACAAAGGGAATAAAAGCCAAGACTGACCATTGACTCTGCTTTGCACTTCAACTTTTTGGCCTCCCTCATGTGAAAATCAGCTTGCTGTCTGAAAAAGAGGAGGAAAAAGCAGAGATGGTCACAGGAACCTAAAATTACTAGATGAGCGTAACGTAACTTAAAACTGAGAGATGATAGAAGATAGGAGGAGAAAGGGAAGAGGATGAGGTAAATAATGAAGGACAAGAGGTAAAGAGAAAGGGAAGAAGCAGAGGAAAGGGAAACCAGGAGAAAAAAAAAAATAAGAAAGCACCCCAGCTCTTACTTGTCAAACTTCACTTGAGGCTTCCCTGGTTTAGAGTTACCATTTGGCAAAAAAGGCACTGGAAAAGGATTTGCAGCGTCTCCAGAAGATCCCTTTAAAAAAAAGAAAAAAATCAGACACAAATTATACTATAACCCTAAGATCAACGTCCTAAAGGAACATCCCTCTTAAGCATCCCAAAACAGTAGTTTGAAAAAGAAATTTTAAGTCAATCACTGCACAAGTGAACTGGGCCACACACTTTCCCAGCTGCAGATGCAACTGAAGCTTTTAGGTTCTGGTTGTAAACTCAAAACAATGTTAAGTAAGTCCCAAAGAACAGGTCATTCACAGAACCAAAGAGAACATTTTCTCTTAGTCAATACAAACACATAGGGACCAGATTAATAGGAAGAAGTAATGTTTGAGAAAGCTGTTAATTTTTTCCCATTATAACCAATAATCAAAACATTTGTGATCAAATAGTCAAAGGAAGAACTGGGGTAACCATTTTTTTTTTTTGCTGCAAAATATCTGGTAAAGAATTAGTACAAAAACCTATTGAATTTTCTGCCTTTGAATTACTAACAACAAATTGACCTTAACATTTAATATTAATTACCTATTATTCCCCCTCCCAAAATTATGACTCTAAAGAGAACTTATCATTGCCATATTAAAACAGAGGCACAGCTCTGAAGTTCCATCATTAGGAACTTACTTTGAGAACTTACAGACACACACCAATACATCCCATTTTGCATAATTACTACCTTCCCTACTTACTTTGTGTTCAGCGGAGCTTCCAGAGCCTTTCCCCTGTACTTTTCTGTGCTTTGAAACGGAAGGGTCTTTATGGTTGCTCTTGGTACTACTGGCACTTTTGGGAGGGTCGTGGCCACAAATGTCTGCTTCCTGCCTTGACCTCTTGTGTGCTGGCTTGGCTGGTTTTTGGGAGGACGAGGATGAGGACGACACAGGTGGAGGGGGAAGCATTTCCTTTTTTGTGGGCTCTGAGGAGGGCCTAGGTGTCCTGGAGTGAAACATCACACAAAACTAAACTGAGGCAGAACACAAATCACACAGCTTAGTTTCATTTTAAAGGATAAAATGGCTGCTGGCATGAAAAGCTGCAAGGCTACTGAGCATGAAATCATGTTGTAGAAAATTTAAGGGACTTTTCATGCCTTGAGAAATCTATAAAGCTGTATAACTTTTCACTTAGCTTGCCGATCATGACAATGGTCCTAACTTACCCCAGATGTTCCTCCCTCTCAGTGGCTCCCTAGCCTATGGCCTGCCCTGGCCAACAGAAGGGCAAACCCTACGGCTGCCTCCACGCCTGCCACCTTCTTCTCCCTCTCCCACCTCCCCGTGGGCTCCCAATCATGGCACTCTATATCTGTTTTGGCCAAGTCACTGTGAGGCAATTTCTTGAATAAATCAGTGAATCTCAGTTACTTTTTTATTTATTCACCTTCTTAGCACTACCATTCTCATCTGTCTCCCTAGTGACAGAGGCTGGTTGGCCTTCAGATTCTTACTCATCTCTAAAAGAAAGAACACTGAACCTAGGCTCCCCGTGGTGTCTAAATGCTGGCTATAGCACCCAGAAGAAATTCTGTGACTTTAAGCGAACTGTTTTCCCTCTGTGCCTCCACTGCTCACCCTGAAAAGTAGGGAAAGTAATAGCACCTTTCTTACTTCCCTTTAGAAAACACAATTCCATATATTTAGAAAACTTCCCTTACTGAAAATGCTCCTGCTAAATCTAAATTTGCTGCTGAATTGTCAATTCCCACATGATGAGAGGAACACATCATCATCAAAATAGCCAGAATGAGTTCATTAATCCACTGGTTCTACCACAGAAAACTTTTTTTTTTTTTTTTTTTCTTTCTAAGACTCAAGAAGAGTTCGTCACCTTTTTAGGCTGTTCCCAATCGGATCTCCATACTCACTTTGTTTTAGAAGATTCTTTGTGGGAGGATGAGGATGAAGAGGACTGTGATTTGGCTTCTTTCTCCAGTCTGATTTTTTTGTTATCATAGTCTCTTTCTGTTTCGATCTATTAATGGAAATATAACAAGCAAGGCAAAACGTCACAAATGTTAATTGTACCAATAAAACAGAAAAGAGAATACAGAAGCAACAAAGAGAATAATTCAAGTTGTGGAGACATCTGCGTAAAGTAATCCCATTAGAACTTAAAAGGTCACGTGTGATGGGTGAGAGCAGAGAGGATACATTATCTAAATTTGATGAGGATTGTATTGAAACAGACTTTGCACAAAAGAGACTATTCCCAATACCACAGAAAGGGGTGATATCTGCTGGGCACAGTGATACACACCTCCTATGATCCTGGTGGCTTTTGCCCTGAAGCAAAAGGATTTTGAGTTCAAAGCCAGCCTCAGCAACTTAGCAAGGCCTAAGCAATTCAGCAAGACCCTGTCTCTAAATAAAATATAAAAAAGGATCAGGGATGTGGCTCAGTGATTAAGCCCCCCTGAGTTCAATCCCTGGTACCAAAAAAAAAAAAAAAAGGTAGGTAAAGTCTAAAATAATGCATGACAACAAGAACAGACTTCAACACATCATTGATGTTTTTCGAAATATTGAAAGACTCAATAATTAGCATGCATGAGGCTGTAGTGCCAAAAAAAAAAAAAAAGGTAAAGAATCAATAAAACATGCCATATTCACATCAAGCAACACAGGGATGATTTTATGAAGCCCCTCCCACTTCTTTCAAAAGAACCATTCACTTACATCCACCAACTTATTGTATGTATAAAATTCAGAGTGGAATATTGAAAATCTACTCCTAATGAAGAACAGAGAAATGCTGAAAAAGAAATTGGCTATAAAATCCTCTACATGTCTCACAGAAAGAATTATACAGATATTTCACAAAATAAAAATAGTGACTGGGGGATTCTGTCTTTTCCCTCTCCATTCTCTCACCATCCCTAATATTGTCTTTATCTTGCTATCCTCCACCCCAAATTACACATTTGTATCTTCCCAAAAAATTCTGATTAAAAAATGAAGGACTACAAATATGACTTTAGTGGGAATATGGAAATAAAGGGAACCTAACTATAGGATTTAAGTAATTCAAAAGCACTCATTTTACAACTAAAGTGCTAAATACGGTTAATCATCAGAAGAACAAGTCTTCAGAGCCAACCATGACGCCTTCTCCACGTTCTCATGTGCTACTTGTGACCATGAACAACTATGTTACCTACGAGAAGTCTAACATAAGGACTTCACAGTGGTCTCTTTGCCACTGGACTGGCTAAAGGAGGAGTCCATGCTCTTTCCAGCGAGTGGCAGTGATGTGATGAGTAGGAGTCCTTCAATGAACTCTGCTACACAATGAGAACTGGACTCCCCAGCTGAGTTCACGGAGTTAGAAATCTGGGTCACCACCAGTCAATCTAGGACAATCCTCAACCAATCCCAAATCCTCTTAGGCCTTAAAGGAGAACAACATTCTTCAAATTAACTGACGGTGGATGGTACTGGTTTTTCACCACTGTGTCTGCCTTTTTCCCTGAACTTCTCCAAGAAAAATTAATAAATTAAGATGTTTAGGCTCAAGGTCTACCCAGACATTAATAAACAGCCCGGCCCTGCTCAAAAGAACAAAAAATAAAAATCCCTCCCCTCTGCCAACACATGTGCCTTTAGTTGTGTGTACTTCCAACCAGCCCTAAGTAGAATCTTCTGGAAAAACCCTTTTATTCACTTATGTACTGTTTTGTTTCAAAATAGATTCATTCATGGTGGCTTACAAAGATACTTGTTTTTAGTCTTGTGTGCAGAAGTAAAAACATTAAATAAAGGGAAAATATGGGTGGAGGAGAGGAATTAAAGCCAAGGGAAGGTGCATACTCTCTGAGGGCCATCAGTTCCCACAGCCCTGCAGGCTCCTGCCAGCAGGCTGGGCGGTAAGCCCATAGGGAGCGCCTGCACTTGAACGTGGCTGGTCTGAAATGAGAAGTGACTCTGAAGACATGATGCCAAGAGAGAATTTAACAGTTTTCAGGTTGATGGAAGTTTGAGATATCTTGTATCAAGTAAAATTATTGAAATTATTGCCATTAGCTTTCTTTTTTCATTTTTTATTTAAAAAAAGAAATTTAAGATTAATATGTGGTTCACACTATATTTCTATAGCAAACATAGTTTGCTATAAATTGGGTTCTGAATTTCTAATTAGCCAAACAAAGAAGGAACTATAGGGATAAGATACAAATAAATCAGCAGAAATGTAACCATTCACTATGGGAAAATGGGGGAAATGTATCTTGTGGGTTCTAATAAGGAGATGAGTGCTATATGAGGTATGTAAGCAAGGCCTAAACCCATGACTGAAATGCCACAGGAAGTAGTACATGGCTGTTTGTTCTGTGAGCACCAGCGGGTACAAAGTTCAGAAGTCAAAGGCACTGGCAGAGGCCAGGAGAAGCCTGCAGGGACACTGTGACAAGCTCTGTAAACACACAAACGCCTGTTCAACAATTTACAGTGGTAGCACTTCAGAGATGGCAAACCATGGTTAAGAGAAAAAGAATCACCAACAGGGTTAAAACAGAATCCTGCTGCAGGTTGTGGAAACCCCTCTGTCAATTAAGCACCTAATTGCACCCAGGTTCACTGTCACCAAAGGGGTCAGGGAATTATCTTAAATTTTAGATTCTGTGCGGCATACCTGGCCTAGCAAGCATTGCAAGAAAATGGGAAAATTATTTTGGGGGAAAGTCAGAATTTGCTAAAATATCTAGATGAATATTAACTTGCACATGAGAACATGAGATAGTAAAACACACACACACACACACACACACACACACACACACACACACACGAGAAAGTCATTTCCTGTTAGTTAATGACATAACACAGGTCTCCAAGACAAAACTAACATAAACCATCCATAAAGTAGTTTCCTCTTCAAGAAAACACTGGAGTCCAGAGGTGAAATGAGAGCTAATTTTTGTTTGTATGTTTTTGTGCTGCTTAGGACATGTTAGTTATTATTATAAACAAAAGTGGCAGACCTTATAAACCACACATGAAAATAAGATTCACGGTGAGTTAATTCCCACAAACTCTGCTTGTGCCATTTGAAGTCTCAAAAGAAGAGCCAACAAACAAATCACCAGACACTAACTTCAGTGCTGGCATTTAACAATGCTAACATTTAGCGATTTATGGAAATAATATGCTTTAAATTGATATTTAACAACTCAGATGCAGAGAATACTCCAGAAGCTAGTAGAAGGAGCCACTTAAGTAAATAAAGCAATCCTATTGATTCTGCATAACTATTGAGTTCACGTCTGCGGGTTTGAGGTTAGTGTTTCCTTGTACACTATGCACTTGGAATTTTGTTCTTCTCTGTCTGGAACAGTCAGAGGCTTCCTCAGAGCAGGCACTCAGCATTTGTGAAGGTCCTGGAAGGGGGCCTCATAGTGAAATCAAGTGAATAGACTGGGAGAAGAATCATTAAAGTGGGGCCAGGCAATACTGAGTATTAGGAAATTAAGACTTGAATTTCAAAATTCCAAGTACTGCAGAAAGATAGGAGGCATGGTATTCTTTAGATTCTTCTGGGTCAAGCAGTCTCGTGAAAAATCAGAAGGCAGTAACACATGCTCTTTGAATGAGCATGAAAAAATGAAATGTCTTTGCCCGATGGTTTTATCCCCAGGTTGCCTCTATTTCAGGGACACCAGTCAAAGGCCTGAGATTCAGAAATTCTTGTTCCATTAGGGTAAGTATCTCAAGGGTGCCGGCACCTACCACAGAGGAGACTGTTGGCTGCCAATCGGGTCCTAACTCACTTGTTTGCTTTCCCTAACCTGTTGGGTCAGGCCGTCTTGGGTGATCTGCCAAGTGCTGCTCCACCTACAGAACAGAGCTAAAGGGCAAGAACTGAGACCATAAAAGGAAGAGATGGGGCTGTGCTTGGCCAAGTTGGTTTCTGTAAGAGAACGCCTCCAGGGCAGCCAGGTGCCTGCCCAGCACCTGGTTTGTCATGTAGGCACTTGCAGGTAGCAATGGGAAACGAAGGTGACTTTTTCCAGGACCAGCACTTATTTGAGGCCACAGAGATTCTGGTTGGAAAGATACAGCCTGGCTGTGACAGGGGTAGAAAGGAGTATCTAAAAGGGAAGCTGAAATGGTGACAAGAGTATACGTGGGCCTCAGGGTGGCAGTGGTGGGAGCAATGGCTTAAACTGGGACGATATCGTAACTGTCCTATTAATCCTAATGGCTGCAGTCAATACATGGGTCTTGAACTCTGATCTTGTACCTCTCTCAAGCATCTCCAGCAACATGTGGATACAAAAATTTGTGAGGGAAAAGAGAAAAACTCACAGGATTGGGAGGTGGCAGCAAACCTGAGCTCCAGACCCGTTTTTACTCAGAAGCCAAGTGATGTTAGCACCTTTCTAGATCTCATCTATGAAAAGGTAGCAGCCTGCAGAGCATAGTGGCACACACCCGTACGCCACATACTCAGGAGGCTGGGGCAAGAGGATTGCAAGTTAGATGCAATCAGCAATTTGGCAAGATCCTGTCTCAAAATAAAAATTTAAAAGGGCTGGGGATGTAGCTCAGTGGTAGAGAACCCTGGGTTAAACTCCAGTACCAAACACATACAAAAGGGGGCGGCCTTAATGAGGACTGCTAGGTTCTTTCAACCAAGTCCAAGACTCTACTATATTCTATATTCTCCCAAAGAAAAGCAAATGAGCTTGGTAGCACATGAAGCAGAGGAAAAGTGGAGAAGCAGACAATACTCTGGAAAAGTCAGGCAATTCCCTCTGAAGGGGATTTAATCGAGAAAGACACGGGGCTAGCCAGGCCAGTTCACACCAAGAACATGGGAAGGGACTTAATGAGAAGACAGGTCATGTTCACTGAGCAAATGCTGCAGAAAAGGAAAATCCATCACTCTTCCTCCTTGGTGAGGACACACACACACAAAGGCACTGGAATGTCTAGAAACAGCCTCAGCTTGCACAGGCCTATGGGTGTGATGCTCTTAGAATAACTGACAGGCATGAAGAGATGGCTATAAGCCACTTCAGAAAATTATAAAGGATGAGCTTTCAAACCCCTTGATTTTAAGGATTAAAATCTGAGGAGAAACAAGCCAAGAAAATACAGATTTTGAACGGAAGGGAAATAAAGAATCAATCATCTCAAGCAATAGAAACATGCTTTTTCCTACCACATACAACTTACCTTCCCCACTGTGTAAAACACTATTAAATATCACTGAAATTCTGCACTCCCCCACCTAATGTTAAAGTTTCTTAGTTAGTAAAGCATTTATTTATAAATGTATCCCTTGTTCAGTTATTTGTCTAAATGACTGAAGACAGGTTATCCACCTATAAGATGACTGGGTGTAAAGAAGTATTAGCTACACACATGCCTAGCACCCAGCAGGGTTTACACAATAACTCCATGCCTGTTAGGTACATCTGTAGGTACATTCCAATTGCACTGGACTGAGTGTGTATCATACCATGATTCTAAACTCCAATTTTTCTTCCAAATCTGGAAAATGTGAACTTGGCTTAAGAATAAGAGCTTCTTCTCAGCAAAGGAAAAATCAATAATGTGAAGAGAGCCTACAAAATGGGTGAAAAATCGACCACACACATCTCAGAGAGAGCACTAATATCCAGGATATATAAAGAACTCAAAAAACTTAACATCAAAAATGCCAAACAACCCAATCAATAAATGGGCTAAGGAACTGAACAGACACTTCACAGAAGAAAAAAAATATGACCAATCAACAAACATACCAAAAAATGTTCATCATCTCTAGCAATTAGAGAAATGCAAATCAAAACTACGCTAAGATTTCATCTCACTCCAGTCAGAATGGCAGCTATCAAGAATATAAGCAACAATAAGTATTGGTGAGGATGTGGGGGAAAAGGCACACTCATACATTGCTTGTGGGACTGCAAACTGGTGCAACCACTATGGAAAGTAGTACAGAGATTCCTCAGAAAACTTAGAATGGAACCACCATTTGACCTGGTTATCCCACTCCTTCGTTTTTACTCAAAGGACTTAAAGTTGTCATTCTACAATGATGCAGCCGCGTCAATATTGATAGCAGCTCAATTCACAATAGCTAAAAACTATGAAACCAACCTAGATACCCTTCAGCAGATGAATGGATAAAGAAAATGTGATATGGGCTGGGGTTATAGTTCAGTTGGTAGAGTGTTTGCCTAGCATGCACAAGGCCCTGGGTTCAATCCCCAGCACCACACACATACGTTAAAAAAAAAATGTGGTATGTATATACAATGGAATATTATTCAGCCTTAAAGAAGAATGAAATTATGTAATTTACAGGTAAACAGATAGAACTAGAGACTATCATACCAAGTGAAATAAGCCAATCCCAAACCAAAGGCTGATAAGCAGATGCTATCCATAATTAGGGGTAGGGAAGACTGAAGGAACTTTGGATTGTGCAAGGGGAGTGAGGAGAAGGGTGGGGCTGTTGGGATGGGAAGGATGGTAGAACGAGACCCACATTATTATCCTATATACATGGATGATTGCACCACTCCTGTGACTGCACCATGTATATCCAGAGGAATGAGAAGTTGTGCTCCATTTGTGTACAATGTGTCAAAATGCATTCTACTGTCATGTATAACTTATTAGAACAAATTGAAAAAATAAAGAATTGTATAAAATAACAGGTGCTATTTTAAATTCTAAAGTGCAATCAGATTGATAAGACTCAACAGTTTTGTAAGGAGTTCATACCTATTCTCCCTCAAAATTTCTTCATGTTTCCTCAAGAATGATTCCTTACCCTCCCCTTTAAAGTAGACAGAAAAGGGGGTACCTTTTCACAAGTGCCACATTTGATGGCTTCATCATAGCTGTTAACCATTATTAACTTTTTTTGGTGGGGGTCATTTTGGTAGTGCTGGGGAGCAAACCCAGGGCCTTACAAATACTAGGCAAATGCTCTGCCACTGACCTATATCCCCAGCCCCTACCATCTACTCTTTATGACCTTTATATGTGCTTAAGTCTAAAATAGTTATAAGAACCTGTGAACCCTCAGGAGATATTTGCTAAATTTTGCTCCAGAAGAGAAATAGGCTCTAATGGGCCTTCAAAGAAAAGCTGTAAATTCTACTTATGTGAAGGATCGGGCATATTCTTCAGTGGCTCTGACTATATCTTCAGAGAGCTTTTCAAAGTGTTCACACTTAAAATGAAAAAAAAAAGTCTCCACAATCCATATTTAGGGGGAAATACCCAAGCGTTAAAAAGGCAGACAGCCTTTCCTCTCCCATAGGATCCAGGCCCCCATGCCAAGCTGCCTCCTGGAATCCCTGTGCTCTGCAGGGCTGGATTCAGGAAGCACTGAACAAACAGGGTACTGGAGAAGGGGACAGCCAGTCCCACACAAGGAAGGACGGGATATGAATATAACATGTCCAATACCTCCCACATATAACCCAGCCCAGCAGGAAGTAAAACAAAACAACAAAGGACACATGCTCAGGAGATAAGTATAGGGTTGATTATACTTATTCATCTGAGAGCGCCTAAGTTAGTCACTAACTAATGACATACTTCAGGCAAGTTCCCAGCTGCCCAGATCTGAGCTGTCTAAATGCAGCACACCTGATGAATTTCTCAGCCCACAGAGGTAGTCTGCATGATCTGACGCACTGCGGTCAAGCACTGCTCTAGTAGTTCCAAGCCCTGCTAGGCGTTAGGATTACCTAAGGAATTTCAAAAATATCAGTTGCCATCATTGCCAAGGTCTTCCCAGGTGACTGTAATGTAGCCAGGGTTGGGAACCAAGGGGTCAGACCTCCACCCTGTCAATAACTAAGACAGACAGACTGTTCCAGGCCAGATCTCTCAGCTGCTTGCCAGAGCTTTAAAGAAATCATGCACTCGATTAAAATGAGGGATCATTACTTCTCTATGCTCTAAATAGAAAGATAAATGAGCTGCCCTAGAGGAGCTCAGCCAAAACCTGAGGGCACAGGTCTGATAGCCAACAGGGAGAGTTTGAAGTTTTTCTGGAGTCACAAGCAATGCTTCTAGATTTGCACTGGGTAATGGAGAAAGGTAAGAATTGTGAGAGAACCTCCAATATCTAACATTTCCACTTAGTGAGTCAGCGCTATGGAGGTGAATGCTTCTCCTCACTCCAGCAAATGCAACGGGTTAGAGACCGTACAAAACCACAGTAGCCAGAGGGCACAGGAGATGAAAGACTTCCCTGGAAGAGGAGGTAAATGAGTGCATGAGTCTTTCTCAAGGACATTAGATGAAAGCACCTTTTTTCCTAAGCAGGTCCATGACAATTTCCTTCTGAAAGTTTTACACCTTGCACATGTATACACATGCGCGCGTGCACACACACACACACACACACACATTTTTTAACATTCTGGAAGCATTTTGGCATGAAAATATGCTCTATTCTAACTGAAACAGCACCACCAATGAGCACCTGATGCCAGCTCACTTGACCTGTAGCTAATGCAGTGGTAGCAGTGCACACTCTCACGTCCCATGCAAGCAGGTTCTAGAGATAACAGTTGCCCTTTGCTGTTTGTTAAAGTTGTGTTTTATTTTTAGCTAGTGGATTAATCAGTCGGATCTCAGACATGACAGCAGGCTTCATGATTTTTTTCCCCCTCTGTTATTCTTAGCTCAAGTTCCACAGCTGAGTAAGACATTTTTCATGTGCTTATAAGAGTGTTAAAAATGTTATTCCTTCTCAGCAGGAGAGAGCTGGCCCTTCTTGCGCCTTTGTCTTGGGATCCCGAGCAGGCTGGTGTGGGGAACACCACTGGGAAAGCGCTCATCTTTCATCAACTCAAAGAAGCAAATAATAAATAGGTCCAGAGCTCAGTAACTAAAAGTGAAGAAAGGACAACTACCCAAACAGTGGTGTGTCCAAGTAAGAGGGTCTCAAATAATGCAGGGATTTCCTCCTTTCCTTTACTGTGTCAAACGAAATTTCCAAAAATCATAATGAAAGATGTCCAATAGGGGACTGGGGATACAGCTCAGTTAGCAAAGTGCTTGCCTCGCATGCACAAGGCCCTGGGTTCAATCTCCAGCACCACTAAAAAAATAAAAGGGGCGGGGAGTGGGCTGGGGATGTGGCTCAAGCGGTAACGCGCTCGCCTGGCATGCGCGGGGCACTGGGTTCGATCCTCAGCACCACATAAAATAAAACAAAGATGTTGTGTCCACTGAAAACTGAAAAATAAATATTAAAAAAAAAGAAAGATGTCTAGTACTTTGCAATGTACCCAGAAACCTATGTTACTCAACGAGATATCCTGATCATACATTTAACAGCTCTAGTGAGGAGTCAGGAGATAAACAAACTATGGATGTAATGTTGGTATTAAAAACTTCATCCTATAAGAATAAAACTTGTACAGAGCAGTTATTTCAGTAATTCAGAATACTGATTAACCTTTCAATTTATGTAAGATCTTAATTTCTAGGCCAAAATCTAATGGGCCAAGTGGTAAAACCCCAGTGTTAACTGAGAGCCCTAAAGTTTCCCCAGGCCCCAGCCCTGCACCAGGGCCACCCCACAGTGTCACAGGAGGCCTGTCTCCCTTACTCACCTTTCTCTTTTTGGCCAACTTGCTGGAGTTGTCTGAGCTTCTCTTCTCAGAGTCCTGCTTCTTCCCTACAGGCAGCTGTTTATCTTCCGGTTTCTTTGGGCAGCTTCCCCTCCCTGGTGGCTGGGGAATCCGAGTGAGAAGATCTAGGGTTATCTTCACCATCAAGCTCTGTGGGGTGGGAGTGTCCCTGAGCGGTGAGAGCAACTTGGTGTCTCTCAAAGGCAATGGGAGTCTGTCTTTGCGGCTGTCCTCCTGGACCACCACTGCTTGCCTGCAGCCGCTAGTCCTGCCACCACCACCACTATGGGGCGGGCCCTGGCTCTGAGTCAGGGGGACAAGAGCAAAGTGCTCAGGGCTCCTGTCTCCCACAGTGTCCTTCGTGGGTTCTGGGCCTGAGAGCGCCTTGGAGGGGGGTGCGGGGGAGCTCTTGTGCTTCTTCTTCTCACTGGGGACCGGCACTGCAGGCTTGGGCTCTCTGCTGCCCCCAGCCCGGGGCCTGCCTTTCGTCTTCACCTTGGGCTTATCTTTGGAGGTCTGGTCCTTTGAGCCATAGGGAAGAAGTCCTGGCTCACTTTCCACCTGCAAGCTGGCCCGAGAATCTGCCTGGGCGGAGGCCTTGACAGGTTTTTTGGGTTGTTTGGTTCCAACAGTTTGCCTAGGTGGGGGTTCCTGTTGTGCAGGGGACTTCTGACAGGTTCTCTTTCCAGGGTGGGGGCCTTCAGAAGGGACCCGGGGGACTTTGCTGGAGCTCTTCGGGGGAGGATCTTTGGACTCAGAATGCTCCTGATTTGCGGTGCTCTCGCTGCCACCCTTGCTTTCCTGGCGCCGACGGGGCAGCTCTGTGTTCCCCAGGGCCTCGGCAGGCACCACAGGCTGACTGACTTTGGTCAGCCAGTTGTCCAACTGCCATTTGTTTGTTGTTGGAGGTTCAGGCTGAAAATAAGGAAATAAAGAAAAGTGTTAGCTGACCATTGATGACAAACTACTCTTTTGTGATAGTCACCCAATTAAACAGGTCTATCCCAGGAGAGGCAATCATTCCAAGTCTAAGAATTTAGATTCTATTTATCCTTCTCAAATTGTAAGTTGGACTCTATAACAAATCTTAAAAAATCTTCAATATTTTTGTGATTTGGGGATTTTGTTATGGTAGATATTGACTAATAGGTTATTGACAACTGCTGAGAAATCTTTGTAACATAAATCTTTGGTTCCAATGGGAATTATGCTATAATTTAAAGAGAACTGACAGGTCTTGACTCGGAGGCTACTCTATGAGAGAATAAAAAATAGAACGAGGAATAAAAAGACTCCCTTTGTAAAGAATTTCTAGAAGGCAGCTAATGCATGAACTGAGTTAAGTGATTACCCACGAGAGTCATGCTTTATCCTTTCTTTGGCATGCTTTCCACTTTTAAAAAATAAATACATACATACATACATATTTTGTTTTGGCATGCTTTTCAACTGAAAATGACTTTTCTTCAACATTTTTCTTATTTACTTAAAAAACAAATATTTAAGGGCGGGATTGTAACTCAATGGTAGAGCACCTGCTTAGCATACGTGAGGCACTAGGTTGGATCCCCGATACCACAAAAAGATAAACAAAATAAAGGTATTGTGTCCATTACAACTAATAAAAAATTTTTTAAATAAAAAAATTACATGCAATAAAGCTATCAATGTATCACAGATACATACTGTTTTTAAATTTTATACTTTAATAAAAATAATCAAGTGAAGTTACATTAGCCAAACCTCTGACCTAGGTTTCTTAAAAGTTAGACATTAAGTCTCTTGTTTGAGGTAACCTGGACTAAAATAGCACCAGTATTTCTAAGACACAGGTAAGAGCAATGAGGTTATACTGATTGCCTATACAATTGATTTGGCAAATCAGCAGAAGTTCCTAAGTAATTTTAATTAAAACCACTGTGGCTGAATTAACTATTGATGCTTACCACCACATCTTTCTACCTAGACTATAAGATCTTAACAGAATAATAAAAGATTCTTGCATTTCCACTTTCCAATTCTGTGTGTCTTAGATACAGGAATATACACATAAAATATTTGAGTATTCCTAGGCATATGAAGTTTTATATCATATAAAAACATATCACATCCAATAGAGTGAGCAATGATAAAGGGCCATATATCACAGGCTTGTTACATGTTTTTCTTAAGATCCATTCTCTCAGATGATTTATATGAATAACTAAATCGTGTATACAAAGCACCAGGAAGTGGAAAGACAGTCCACATAGGATTTGCCTTACTGGATTATAGATAAGGGAGAACACTCCGGTAGGTGGAGGAACTTTTGTTTTGCAATGCTGGGGATCAAGCCCAAGGCTTCCTAAATACTACGTGCTCTACCACTGAGCTACACTCCCAGCCCCAACATGGAAGATTTTTAAGGGAATGATTGCCAATTTTCCAAGTAAAATGTACTAAATAATTCAACTCTGCAAAAACATGTAAATCTAACAATGCAAAATTATGAATATAATATAATGGCTTTTGGCCAGGGAAATGTTAGATAGTTTGGGTTTAGTGTGTGTGTAATAGAATAAAACTAAAATAAATTTTAAGAAACTAGTTAGGATTATACTTTGGACAGAAAGATGACTGCATAAATTCCTCTCTGTCTGCTCCCCCAGTACAGTACTGAGGCTTATGATCACATATCTCCTTGACAGCTTCCTATAATTCCATCAACTTTATATCTATCCTCTCCTTTGAATTTCAGGGTAGGGAGAAAGGGAAGAAGAAAACCACTGTAACATGCAAGGCATTTTGTCACATGTAAATCTAAATTTGTAATCAATATTCTAACAGAGCAAGATGATTGTTAAGGGTAAAGAAAATATCAGCACAACACCAACTTGTCAAGCATGATTTCCTGCAAAGACCTGGGAGTGTAATAGCTCTAGTGGTTAACTGACCAGACAAGGCAATAAGATATAGCACATGCCAATAGCATCAGGTACAGAACCCTGCCCATCATTCCTCAGGAGAGCTATCTCACCACAAGCTTTGTTTATAACTGCAGCCAATCACTGACATGCTCCTTAAAAGAGTATTTATGTGTGAACCCAAAGGAACATCGTTCCTGATGTAAGGCACGTCTGTTCCCCCAACCCCCAAATAGGGCAGTATTTAGATACCTTGGTAGTCCCTAAAGGAATGTCCTGGTTACCAAAATAACACATTGACTTCCACTGCAGTCCTCAATGTCCAGAAGTGAAGCCTATGGCCCATTTTCGTGGCAAAACTGAGTTAGTATGCCCAGACACAGGGAAAGAAAGGAGCAAATTGTTTTGTGTATTTAATATGAAGTTATAAAATGGATACAAGATCCCTTTAAGGTCAGATATATTATTTGGTTACCGGGAAGAGGAAAAAGTTTGCATAAGGGATTGATTTTAAAAATAGGTGTAAAATAATTTTTAAGTAGATAAGTGCCAGGTAGGAGCAAGGCTTTTATTTCTCTGACTTTCCTCATTTCCCTTCTGTACACCAAGTGCTGGTACAACCCAAAGACTGTATACTGGAAGTAGGAAAAACGTACATGATTAAATTTTAGGTGTTTTAATAAATGTCTGGTCACATGTCCTTTTATTTCTCCTAACCTCTTAAATTGTCAATTAGTGTATTTCAGAATGAATTGTGGTTCTGAATAAAAGGTTTTGAGTTAAGTGCAATATATACCTACCTTTTAAATAATAAGTTCATAGGTATGGAGAATATATGCACAAAATTTAAAAGAAAAAACATGAAAATATAATAAATTTCAAAAGGAAGAGAAAGTTATCTATGGCTGACATGGAATTCACGGTACTCTCAACTGACACAGCAGAGTTACAATAAATGTAGGTATAGCAAAGAAGAAGAAAAAAACCGGCACACTAAGGGGCGTAGGAATCACATTTTAGAGTTAAATGACTATAGGTCTGCATTTCAGTGCCACTACTTCTTTGTAGCCAAAACAAAAACTGCTAACCTTACAGAGTTGATGGAGGTGGGAAGAGTTAAATCATCTTATGACAAAGCTTCAAGAGTGCAGGAGGCAATCAACACAAAGTCCTTTACTACCAAGGGACTAGACAATGAACAGAGTAAGAAATGAAGTAGATTCCTGAATAACCCAGATGGAATCATGTTTTCTGAATTTTTCTTAAGTAGCAGAAAGGCAATGTGTCCTACATATTCTGAAAACTTGAGATTTGCATTTTGATTCCCAGTATAAAGCAGATACTGAAATGGAATCCACAGTGGCTGGTTCCCAAGTTCAGCAGCGACCCACTGGCATGCATGCAATGCTCCAGATCTCCTAAATCACTGGAACTATTTCGTCATATGAAATGAATGAAAATGGAGCCAAAACTACCAAGTTTTCCAGCTTTAAAAATAGAAGTGGATGAGAAAGTAAAACTAGTATCTATTGCTGATTATGGAATTCTCATTACCTTCAACTAAAACAGGAATTTGTTTACAAAAGGGAAAAAAAAGGAGTTAAATACCTTAGTGAAAATTAAAGGTAAACCTAGAAAACATTCATGGGAAGATGGAACTTAGTACATAACATACAAACTCTCCACAAGCCTGGATTTGCATATCAATACATATGTACAAATACAAGTCTATTAGTAAAGTGATTTTAAAAAATGAAGCAGAAGGGCTGAGATTGTGGCTTAGTAGTAGAGCACTTGCCTAGCACGTGAGAGGCCCCAGGTTCAATCCTCAGTACCACATAAAAAATAAATAAATAAAATAAAGGTATTGACAACTACAACTAAATATATATATATATATATATATACACACACACATATGTATATATATTTATATTTATATTTCATATATATATGTACATGAAGCAGGATGGAGCACTTATTCTTCAGCTAAGAAATTTCAATTAACATAATTCCAATAGCTTCTTGAGTACTGAGACACACATCTCAATAGTAGAAACACCAGATCAAATCTTATTTTTAAGTTTCAATTATCCAACCAAAGCTGTACTATTTTGATTTCATTTAATTGAATTATCTTCTTTATATCAATAATCTAACAAGCATACAAATTTTTCTTACTGAAATGAAACATACAGCAAAGATCTTATTAACAATGAACATCACACTATCTGTCTACATAGCATATTCAGCATCCTTTTCTTGGAGGCATAGAAAATTATTTCAATAGCAATTATTATCACACAAGAAAACAAAGAGCCCTAGAAACACAGAGAAGTTTCTGAAATCTGAAAGGTGTTTTAAGTGCAATTAATGCTGATCCACTTTCATGCACTCCAAAAAAAAAAAACAAAAAAAAAAAACCTGAGCATTTATTCTGGGCCAAAGATTAACATTTAACAAAAAATGCCACCCTGTTATTTTCTTAGCCTCCCTTGACCTCAGACAAGCCATGTTTACATCTCACTATATGATCTCTAGTTGTATTTGGTTAATGCTGTAACAGAACTACCTCTCATCTAAGCAGAAGAGATGAATATAGAAAATTTTTAACTTTTCTAATCAGAAAGTCTCATTTCCTGGTATTTTCACCTTAAATATGCAGACAGTTTTCTCTATGTGGGCTGGTCTTATTCACCAAAAGTAAGTATGTCTTTCCCTTTTCATTACTACCTTTCTTCGGCATAATTTTTACACTCCTACCCAAGGTTTGAAGGTTTTTGGCAACCTTGTTAGTTGCTACTAACAATTTCTTATACTCAACCGTCTAGTACATAACATTAATCCTCTAGATAAATTTAGTGCTTGAGATTTTCAGTCTCATCAGTTTGTTCACCTTTACAGTATCTCCTGAGGGTAGGTGACAAGCACACACAGTTATCTGTTTTTTATGGGGCAGAAGGGAACAAGAACCAGAGCCCTGGCAAAATCACTTTGCCATCAATTTAATGCATGGCTTTTAGTGATTCAAAAATAGAACTGATGACTTATTTCTACGTTCCTGCCCTTTGCTAAATCAGGAGGTCTCCTTTTGCTTTCCTTAATTCAGGCATTCCTGAAATTTCAAAAAGAATTCTCATTAATATTAAAACAGCAGCCTACTGAAAACAAGTTTCCTTCTCAAAAGGAGGGAAAATAAAATGGTGTGCAAACATTCTTAATGAGCTGCTCTTAAAAACAACACTAGCAATGACAGAGAAGAACGTATCATTTTAACCAGGCGAGAGAAAACATCTCTCCCAAACCTCCATTGCCAAGTATTTGGTAAGAAGTACGTAAACAGAAACAGATGGTTCTACATGGCAGAGGAGCAGGAAAGCATTGCCCATGGGGCAGAACTGCTCCATGTCGGGTCAGTGCCACACTGACTCCAGCTCTAAAAGACAGAACACTGCCATCTTGGATGGCCTTCTTGAAGGGTCACGGTACCTCAGGAGCTGGGGTTTCTAGGGGCTCATTCTCCTCGCTGTCACTTGAACTGCTCTCACTCTCCGAGTCTGAGGAGCTGTCTGAGTCACTGGTGCTCTCGGACTCTGCACTACTGGAATGTGCTGATGCCACTGGTTCTGGAAGCGACTGTGGAGCACTGCAAAGCAACCAAAGGATAAAATTAGAAGGCACCATGCAAGTCGAATTTCTTCCCTCTTTACCCCCTGCCCATTTTTCTGCTATTGGGAAGGGCCTCAGTATTATCTAATCACTCAGCTGAGAGAGGGGCCCACAGTGGTCTGAAAAGCCCTTAAAACGGTTCACCAGACAACTGCATAGAAGAGAAGTCTGGAGTTTTACTTCTTTAGAACATGTCAAGCTATACAAAAGCTAAGTCAGATACTGGGTGCTGGATGTCAAAGGTTGGTAAACCATGGCCTGGGCTGGCTGCCTGTTTTCTAAGTTTTATTAGAACACACTCACACCCGTTGTCTTAAGAACTGTGGCTGCTTTCAGGCCATAACAGCAGGGTGCAGTAGTTACAACAGAAACTTTCCGTGGCCCACAGAGGCTAAACTATTTACTAACTGGCCCTTTAAGTTTGCTGGCCCCTGATGTAGAAAACCAAAAAAAAAAAAAAAAAAAAAAAAAAAGTTTGTAAAAGAAAAACTAATAAGTTAAAGTCTTCCTATATGCTCTGTACTAGAACTAGCTATATGGTAACCAAAACCACTGAATAAAAATGGTGTTCCTTTGGAGGGTGAGCTCAGAAATTACATTCTCATGCTTCCTAGACAGAATTAAAAAATGAGCCACTCTTTATAAGTGGCTTGAGAAAATTACTCCAATTTTAACAACTGGGTAATAACTTAAGTCAATGAGAAAGCACTGAGCATACTGTGAGATACAGGTAGAATTTCTAAGCATGGGTAATATAGTGATCATTGATTATAATTCTGAACACTTCCAAATCTACCTAAAATATTTGAAAATAAAATTTTAACACATAAAATATTAGAATGAAAATTATTAAATAATTAAAATCACTAGTAAAGATAATTTTAAAACACACAGTAATACTACCTAATCTCATATGAAATGCTGGGTTAACTTTAAGGCCCTTTCCACACTAGCAGTTGCTCAGCTCAAGTCAGTGGCATCAGAGGGGGGACATGCCTTTAATCAGTGCTCCTGCCTCTAACTTACCCCCACCTTGTGCTTTTTCTTTGTCCTTCACCTCTATTTTTTGGTTAGACTACTTTTTCATGTTTTATGAATTGACAAGACCCTCTAGAAATTCCAACAAAATTTGATAATAAACAAGTAAACTTTTTAAACCTATAAGACTATATAATTACATGGCCTTCCTTCACACTAACTACAAATCAACTCTGTGATAGCCAAGTTTTTATTGCTAACCTTGTCAATGCTTGTGCACATCTCCAGGGAATAAAATAATTTAAATCTTTGTCCTTAAAAGACACATATTTGTCATATTAAAGCAGATAGGAAATATTATAAGGGAAGTTCAAATAGTTCTCATTTCCAGAAATTAAAGCACTACATTTTCTAAAAGATGGCTGGCTTATTTACAAAAACAGTGCCATTTTCCATCACATGAAAATGAACTGCAGGTCATTTTTATAAAGCAACTGAAACAATTTCAGATTTCACAAAACTAAGGAAACAGGCAGAGCAGAAAAAAAGTTCTAGAAAAAATATTTAGCTTTATAAATTTTGAAAACAAAGTAAAGCTGTCACTTTCATAAAAAAAAACTTTGGGCTCTTTAGTCTAATTTTTTGCAAATACTGGTTATACATTATTGAGGATAAACTTTAAAATTTTTAAATTCCAAAAAAAAAAAAAAAGTTTTATTTCCAAACTGATGATGTAAGTGCAGCCAGAAATCTTTCACTTATATAGTTCTAATAACCTCCCCGGGGCAGGTTTAACTTTCCAAAATACTAAACTGGCACTCTCCTGTAACTGTGATCTTCCATCTCCTTCCCCTTGTATGACAATATTAAGGCAGGGCTTTATTTTTTCAACTTGGTAAAAATACAAAATAGGAAGAAACCCGCAGACAGTACCTTGGAGGTGCAGATGAGGAAGGAGGCTTCTCTGGGGTCTAGGCATTCACAACAAGGGGAAGAAGGACCAGGAAAGAACAAAAACAGGTTAGGACACAGCTCAGATAGATATGTAGATAGATTTAAAAGGATTTTTGGCTCCATGGAGTATACAAAACTTACTTGTTCATTGTCACTGTCCTCACTGTCACTGAGCTGAAGGTCATCTTCAAGCATGCTGGAAGAGGCAGGGACAGAGTCCAGAATTTTAGATAATGTCTAACCACTTTTTTTAGCATATAAATGGAAAATATAGCTAGTGTTACCAAAGAGGAGCAAAATAGGAATAAGTTTCTTTATTTATCAAATGCTTTGTTTTCCTGGAAGTGGAAGTTTTACAATTTGACACAGACACCAGGTTAGTTCAAGCCTCTTACCACCTCAAAACCCAGCCTTTCACATGTTCTTTCTGAACACTAAAACAGACTACCATACACAGGAATTTGTAGCCAGCTCTGAGATACAAAACCCAACTCCTAATCAGTGAGGATAGGTTCTAGAAAAATATTTAGCAACATGCAAATACTTAACAACATGCAAACAATACAAATAAACTGAAAAAGAAAAGGAAGAAGAAAAAATATACAGAATACTCTCAAATTATTCTACAGTCTCTAATTGAACATGGAATAAATGATTAATCATTACACGAGTTAATGTTGAATGGTATTTGTAAAGCAAACAAGCAGACCTATAAAAGGTGTTATATAAGAATTAAATACAATTGCATGTAGTGGTGCACTCCAGTGACTGGGAGAGTGAGGCAGGAGATCACAAGTTCGAGGCCAACGTTGGCAAGTTAGTGAGACCATGTCTCAAAATAGAAAGGGCTGGGGATGTAACACTGGAGTAAACTGCCCCTGGGATTGATTCACAGAACCACAAAAATATAGACAGATAAGAAATAAAAACACACTAAGGTATATGAAACTATCAAGTCAATTATTACTGGTTCTCTCACATTTTTGTCAAGGGGATGTTATTAATATTGAACTTTTTTCACATGTAAAAATTTGTTCTCTCTTGTCTTCTTGAACACTAATCAATAGGAAGAGTAGGAATACTACTGATATCCAGAGAGTATGTTTTAACCTTACTGCTATCAGTCAGGGAAAAAAAGTAAGTTCATTTTCTCACGCATGTATTAATATGCATTTCTAGGCATTCCAGCTTATAACACAATTTAATATTAAAATCAACCATTTTCTAACCTGAACATGGTTTCTTAAATTTTAACACCTCCCCAAAGTCTCCCATGGAGATGCCCAAATAGCAGTAATTACTCTCTCCCAATTCCCCTGAATTTTATGAGCATGACTATTTGAGGAAATGTTACACATAAACTGAAAAAAAAGAAAAGAAAATCTGCTTAAGTATCACTTATGTTCCAAAAAATAAATTACATTAGAAGTAAAAATCATGCAGTATGTCTAAAAATACCTCTTCAATGATCCAAACAACAATTTTTATTATGAAACCACTGCCACTGAAAGAAGCAGGCATGATTATTTTGGGAAACCTTGGTTTAAAAAAAAATCACTGTGTTTGCTAATGAAAATAAGTGATAAAACTTGGCTCTTTCATAAATGACCGCCTACATGCAATGTGATAATTCTGCCAAGGAACTACTTTCACCAACAAATATACTGAAACACCCTGTGATAAGTTTCTAAATAAGATGAAACTGCTAGCTACTTGTAAATGTAGATCTTACTCAATATTTATCAAATAGAAGCTAAACTCATATTTTAGCAAGCCTAGAAATAAAAAACAGCCTTCAGTCACAGAATTTGGCAGTGAGCAATCATAATCATGTGCAAGAGTTACTCAACAGGTTTGCCACTAAGTGGTAGCTTGGCTGGGGGACACACAAAATTAAAGATGAAATATATGTCTTTAGGAAAAGGTATAAGGTATAGAAAAAATAGAAAAACAACTGACAAAGTATATTCAATATTAATCACCAACAAAACTGTATAAATGGATTTCTTTGTTTCTTAGTCACTAGGTTTGTTTTGCATAAAACCAGTTTGTCTCAATTTACTATATCATCAATGATCATGTAATTTCACTTCACTTCTGTTGCAAGTAGTGGATTACAAATCCCTTAACTTCTTGCTTTGAATTAGTTTATATGAGAAAGTATTGGCTTCTAGCTCCATTTTGCTCTTGAGGAATAATAAGCACCATCAAAATGCTGCCCTAGATTCTGGAAATTTCTCCCTCAGAGAATAATGTAGACAATGATAAAATATAAGTAAGTGCAGGTACAATAGTTATTCAGGGCCTAAAGAGGAGGGACAGTGACCCTGGAAGGAAAATTGGAAAAAGTACAATCTACAAAGAACACTCAAAAAGATATGATATACCAGTAGGGTCCAATGAAACCTATCATTTATTTAAGATGTAGGTGGGATTTTTTTTACTTGGTATTTCACTTCATTAAGTTTTGAAAGTGTAATTTACTTAGAATGTTTGCCTAGCACATGTGAGGCCCTGGATTCAATCTTCAGTACTACAAAATAATAATAATAATAATAAATGATAATTAATAATTAATAATGTCTCCCATGACAATCAGCAGACAAAGGTAAATTGTCAATGTGTGCAAATCCAACCAACAATAACCTGAAATCTTCTGGATACCAAAGTTGAAGACATCACCAAAGACAGGTAACTCAACATAAAGTAACATGCTGTTGGTGGGTAGGACAGGAGTGAGAAAAGGTATTTTTCAAAATTTTTGATAAGAGACATGTCAGATCTAAATTTAAAAAAATTCTTAAAAATCACAACCAATTCATAATTAAGTCTTGCTAATAGACAAAAATGATTGTGAAGGATTTTTAGAGACAAAGAACAACTTTAAAGGAATGAGTAACAAAGTACCCTGCTTGTCCCACAAGCAATTATATGTGAGGCTAAGCATGTCCTTGAACCTGTCGATGAGGAGAGAATTTCAGCACTCCTAGGCAAGCACCTTTGCACCCAGTTAGTAAGAATTGAAATCTCTTGGCTCTGGTCCCCTCATGCCAATAAAATCCAGGTCACAAGAAAGAAGGACCAAGGGTCCTGCCTTCTCCTTCTCCATAAATTTTTCTGAGGCAAGATCAACTCACTTTTACCTTCACATTCTCTATGTCTGGAACTTGGCAGGTGCCCTCAAGAGCTGGCTGAGTGAGCAGCAGCCCCTCTGGTGGGTCATTAACAGTGCCATGTAGCCACGATAAGGGACCTTCACAGGCATAGCCTCCACATGCAACTCCGTGGTGCTGTGACCATCCCCTCACAGACTAAAGATAAGGAAGGTGGTCACTTAACCTGCCCAAGATCATTAAGTTGGCAGATGCTGGAGCTGGGACACAGAGTCCTCTCCATCTGACACGAGATTCCCCTTGCTCTGGCCAACACACGACACAAGGGTTAGGAAACCTGATGGATGGAGTTAAATCTAAGTTTCAGAACCCAATATTGTTTTATTTTATTGATTAAAAAAATCTGTTGGGACTATAATGAATATGCTATTTTTTTCCTTATGAAAATAAATTAAACCTTATGTGTTTTAACTGGTCAAATGACTAATTTCATTTCCAAATTCCAAGGCAAAGCAGTTATTTCAAAGCATATGGCATGATACAGCTTACTTTGGCATTGTTCAAAAGAAACCAAATTGCTCAGGTAAAATAACTCTTTGAACTATCACGTAGATTTAACCACATTTTACATTACCAGTTTTCTCTTAAAGGTTGCACACAATCCTCCAAACCCTTTGTATAAATGCATTCTCCAGGCAGCTACTCCAGCAAAACCCAAGGAGCCACGTACAGGTTCTGGCAGGCATGATTTTGTGAGTCAGCCCAATCTTTACTGCGAAGACACGGAGGCAAACCCGCCTTTCTTTTCCACTTCTCAGTACTAGGCTTGCCCAGAGCTTTCACTGCCAATATTCTGTAACATCTCAATTCAGAACCCAAAACTACTTAAGTAAACTTGTTTCTCAGCTTAACATTTCTTATGATCGTACTGAGAAACGGCAAGTGAAGGCAAGCTCACGGTAGTTACTTGTAACTAATAAGTCACAACCATGGCATTCAGTGTGTTTAAAATGGTACAAAAAGTAATGTTTTTCAGAAACCAGTGATGAGCATGTGACAATGTATAAACTCACACCATATCCTAAAATGAAATTGACCTGGGGAGAGACGGGTGATGGAACAGAGTATAAGAAGGCAGGGAATCAACAGCATATCTAATTCCCCAAATTTTAAATTAAATCAGGCTTTTGGAGGTATAGCAAACATAAGGACCCCAAATGCCTTGCAAGAAATGATGGGAAGTTACAAATTATGAAGGCAGCTCCACATAAAATAAATGAAAAGGGGAAAAAGCAGCTCTGGCAGTTGTGACGACACGTAACAGGACTCCAACCATGGGAACAGCCAACAGAAGGCAGAACTCACATTCCTGAAGAGGCTGTCCAGGGGAGATTATCAGAAAACAGGACAGAGAAGAAATGACTTAGTACATCATTTACAGCAATAGGAATCCACTGCAATAGTAACAAAAACAGCATGGTATTGGCACCAAAACAGATACGTAGATCACTGGTACAAAATAGAAGACAGAGACAAACCCACATGAAAACGGTTATCTCATACTAGACAAGGATGCCAAAAACATACATTGGAGAAAAGGTGGCCTATTCAACAAATGGTTCTGGGAAAACTGAAAAATCCATATGTAGCAAGATGAAATTAAACCTCTATATCTCACCCTCCACAAAAATCAACTCAAAGTATATCAAAGATTTAGGCACTAGAACAGAGAGACCCTTCTCTTAATAGAACAAAAAGTAGGCCCAGATCTTTGTCATGTTGGCTTAGGACCTGACTTCCTTAATAAGACTCTTTAAAGCACAGGAAGTAAAACTAAGAATCAATAAATGGAATGGATTCAAACTAAAGAGCTTCTTCTCAGCAAAGGAAACAACCAATAACAGGCAGAGCCCACAGAATGGGAGAAAATCTTTACCACATGCATCTCAGAGCATTTATCTCCAAGATATATATATATTTTTTAAAAAAAACTCAAAAAAACAAAAGACTTAACACACACACACCCAAAAAAATAATAATAATAATCCAATCAATAACTGGGCTAAGGAACTGAACAGAAGAA